ATCCTGAAACTATTTCCACAAACTTCAGACGACACTGGGCGTTGCATTGAGCTTTGAAGCCACCTGAGCTTGTGATTACCTGCCTTCAATATACCGGCAATTCTCCATCTTATTCCGTCATCATCCAAACGTTCATGGCTATTCATTTTGGCTGATACCTTATAAAATTTACGCAACTCTTGCGAGAAACACGGCGAATATCTTGAGGAAATACAAGCACACAAGCCGCCAAAAACACCCTCGTGTGCTTTTTTGCCCTCCACAATCAGAGCTCTGCAGACACGCATGTGTACGCTTACGTATTCGACCCTAAATATTTGCATAATTCTCCAGGGGCATGGTTAGTACCTTTGCTTCAACATGTTTCGTAAAAACAGCCATAATTTGCAAATTCTCTTAATTTCATGGGCGAGTGTTTAATAGTATCTCATGACGAGAGCCTTTAAGAGGAAAACCATAAGAGAGATAAGTGGAATAAAGTAATAATTAAGAGGAGGTTCGGAAAGAAAGAAGAAACGATCGCTGAGATTGTGACCTTATGATCGCTGAGATTGTGACCTTTATGAAGTGGCAGCAAATTCCTTTTTAATTTCTGAGTTTGTCAATCAAAAGGCCCTTAAATTCGCACAAAATATGAAATAAATCAAAACCAAATTCGAAATTCAAATTTCGGGCTTCGATATACCTATGTTTGGGTATTCAAAATTTAATGGCTCTGTGTGCGACCTTTTTCCCACAATTTGAGGAACTACATACATACAGATTCTTAATTAGACTGCTGGCCATTAAAATTGCTACACCAGGTAGGAATGATCTGAAGAATGTCAAAATTACATGAAAGAAAGAAGAGGGTGAGATATGCAAATGCTTTAGTATTTCAGCGCATTTAGACGACAGAAACGACATATGAAGCTCTGCATAAAAGAAATTTTTTGTAGTGGATTTCTAATTTGGAAAGCGCTTTGTAAGTTTGCTCAGAATATCGTTATAACTCGAATACTAAGAAGAAATGCTTACTAGCAAGTGTCGGAATTTGATAGAGGCAGGATCGTTGCCTATCGAGCGTATGGATTATCGTTCCGTGATATCGCCCGTCGCACTGGTCGACATCCAACCACTGTCATGCGAATATGGAATTAATGGGTTGCCGAGGGACATACTGAACGGCATGCAGGGCTTCTACGCTCTCCCATGAATAACGCTGGAGAGGGCAGACAAATTGTGAGGTCAGCCCTGCAAAATCATGCAGCAACATCACGGACCATTAGTCGACAAATGGGCATATTTGCAGCGCGCCCAGTAACCGCCTGCACGGTGCATCAGCGTTCGCAGCAGCGTGAACCATCAGCATGGCGACCATTACTCCGGCTTCCCTTGACAATGCAACATAGAAAGAGACGGCGACTCTGGTGCTCCGAACGACAGAGCTGGATACAGAAGTGGCACAATGCTGTCTTTTCAGACGACTGCCGGTTCTGCGTTCAGTATTCCGATGGCCGTATATGTCTCTGGAAGTTCCGAGGAGACCTCATGTCGCCTGCCTGCATTCGATATCGGCACAGGAGCACTGCGCCTGGTGTGATTGTTTGGACAGCCATTGGGTATATAACAAGCACATCTCTAGTTCGATCGACTGCAATTTGAACACCAATCGGTACATTTCTGACATCTTACGTCCAGTGGTTGTGCCCTATCTTCGAGGCCTGCCAAACGCCATCTTCCAACTAGATAATGTAAAACCCTGTGTTACATATCGTGTTTTGGCTTTCCTCGATACACAGGGTATTAGACCGCTGCCCTGGCCTGCACGGTCTCCAGATCTGTTTCCCATTGAAACCATCTGTTCATGGGTTGCTGAGAGACGGGCCCGCCACCACTCTCCAGCTAATGCGGTTGATAAATTGTGGCATAGACATGAGGCAGCATGGAATGATTTACCCGTTTCTGTCATCCAAGCCCAGTTCGACACCATGCCTAACCGGGCAAGGGCCGTTTTAGCTGCCAGGGGTGACAGCTGTTTCTACTAATTTCACACCACAGTAAACCCCCCGATTTTTACCCACACAGTACACAGTAAACCCCCCGATTACAAATTTAATAATTTTGTCTTCATGCCGTACTGTTCACGTACAGTAAATATCCTTTTTTTTTTTTTTTTTTATTTGCTCTCTTTCATGGTGTAGCAATTTTAATGGCCAGCAGTATATTTAATAACAGACATAGAAATTTTATTTTATGTATAGTCCTCACGCGCGCATGCGCAGCACGAAACCCGAATTTCGAATTTCCTTTCATTTATTTTGTATTTTGTGTAAATTTAATGAAATTTTGATTAAAAGCTCAGCGATATAAAAGAAAATGTGTTGCCACTGCGCGATGTAAAATTTTATTTTCCACGGGCTGGTTTGCTAACATTTGCCGAAGCACAAGATGTTTAATTTTCTTTCAAAATGATTTTGATATTAATTAACAAACTAAAGGTTTTAAAAGCGATAAATACATAGACATATCAATTAATAATTATTAGCTGCACCCGTGAAACGGCATAAACGGGATTCATTTAAATCCCTACGTATTTTTTGTCTTTTATAATAATAATTTTAGGTGGATAGCAAACAAATAAATTGCCACTGATTATCGAAGATTCTTTTATCAAAAGAATGTTAATCGATCAGGCTTCATCAGCAGTTCTCAAATATTTTCCCCCGGGACCATTTTTAAGGTGCTTTTCATTATTCAATAGGCTATTGCTTTTATTGATAATGAACCTCTCTTAAAACTGAACTCTTCGAGAAGATGGGAGGTAGTTCCCATCTTCTCTATCCACCTCCCATCTAACTATTTATTAAAAAAATATCTGATGTGTGCATCCGATGCCTTTCTTGTATGAGCTGTACACATATTCAATTTCATCAAAAACAACCGCTTCCTTCATGGTGCTTTGATTTTTTTGCAAAAGAGTGTATTTTAGTTTTAAAGATTTTTTTTCTTACAAAACTTGCCTAAATGGGCCGATAAACTGTTGCGATGGCCGTTTAAAAATAAGTTACATTACAAATCGAAACAATCATTCTGTGACATGAATATTTTTGCAAGTGTTAAGCAGTTTGAAGAAATTTATGTTAGACAAAACTGCATGAAAGTCTAAAAAATAAGCCTCTTCGTATTATCATAACGATATAAATCCAATCGCAAATACTATCTCGCTGGCTTTTTAAAACATGTGTATGGCATTTATCATAATTACATCACCATGTATGATGAACTAATCTGACCCTCGAAGCTTCCTGAAAGAGTCAATACGCCCCGCGGGTTATACACAAAATTCGATTGCTTTCAAATTATTATAGGAACTGAAGGTAAACTAAATAAAAAAAATTTTTAAAAATTATTGTTAATGTAATTAAAAACAATCTTACCGTAAGCAAGGTTTGTAACAGCAAGCGCTTATTTGGTATTTTATGTAATGAAAAAAAAAATTATATTAAGTAAAAGAGAAATAAAAAATTATATTTCTGTCTAGATGTGCTATATTAATCCATAGATATCATAAGATTAAAATGCTATAAGAATGCAATCAAAAAATGCTTGTTGTATTTCTTCGAAATTTAAAGTAAACTGTTGGATTTTTGTTATTTTTAGAACTTTGCCCTGTCTTGATAACTCACACCTGCATAACTCGATATAAATTGCTTATCTAACAACATGACCGTTTTCCGAAGTTTCGCTGTAATCTCTGTTGCTTAATAATGAATAATCTGTATGTGTATATGTTTCCTCGTACTGTCAAAAAACGGTAGAAACACCTATAGTAACCTAATTTTGAAGACTCCACCCTAACATAGGCACCTCGAAGCTAGAAATTTGAATTTCGATTCTTTTTTAAACTTCAAATTTTGTGCAAACTTGCAGAATTTTATATTAAAAACTCTGCGATTTAAATGCTTTGTGTTGCCACTCAGCAAAGCGAAAGATATTTATGTTCAAATTTAATTAACAAACACAGCTAACAGCTATGTAAAAGAAGTGTGATACCACTGCCCAAAATAAAATATTTTAATTTCCCGCGCCAGTGTATTGCCATTCAGTGAAACGTAAGGCATTTAGTTTTTTCTTAACAAATTAATCAACTATTCCTGAGAACTAAGCAATTTTAAAAGCAATAAACGCGGTTCTTCATATTTATTATTATTATTACAAACTGGATCCGTGAAGGACACTAATTGGATTCCTTAAAATCTATTTTCTTTTAGTAATAAATATTTTAGTCAGCTGGCCGCGCAAGCAGCTGATGTATAAAATAATTATAAATAATCAGCTAAAATCCAGTATAAATGGAACTAAATGTTGGTCAAACAACCGGACTGTGTGATGACTAGGAAGTGCCAAAAATGGATTATTTAAGTAAAGACGTTAAATATAAAGCAAAATGGTAAATGCACTTGGCTCAATAAAAAACAAACATCCGTAGTATATATGGAATTCAGCCTACATACACTGTATTTCCTCGCGTATTTTTCGCCTATAAAAATCTGATGTAGAGGTACATGGTTTTGAACCATAGGCACTCCGTAACGTATAATCAGTGGCATTGGCAATAAAAATGGGCGCGATTCAAGTTACGGGGAAGCAGAAATGAAACTCTTATTAGATTATGCAATGTTACTATTACTATGTATTTTAATTGGAATGTAGGAAACTGATAATACTGTGAGAATTACCTGTAGTTTAGTTACGATTCCTTTTCATTTGTTTTGTTCTTTCTCTGGCCGTTTCGCATAAATGCTTCACATAATTTTCCTCTTTCGAATTTCGGACGATGAAATTAGTTAAAGAAAGGGAAAAAATATGGTATTTATACCTACATTCCTAAAATACTTCATTGGAAAATAATAAAAATGCATCCATTAATGAAGATCCACACATAAATATCGCCATGTATGTGAAAAATGTGCAAAAAATTGCTTTATTCAAAACATATTTTGCAACTAAGTACTCACCATTTTAAAGTAGACTGAAGATTTGTCCTTTCACGTTCCGAATCTTTCAGGTCGGCCGCCATCTTGGAAATGAAGTTCTCGAAATTTGAACGCATGACTGGATCTTCTTTCTGGACTCGCCGCCACATCTCTCGTATGTATTCCTCACTGCAAGAGAAAAATTTGTATTTTCAGTATTCCTGTTTTTGTCAATGCGGTTTTTAACTAATTATTCCTTTTTGAACTCGCTGGAAAACGCTCCATTTTCAGAAAGGCTATTTTTTTAAAAAAAATTTTTAAAAATTTTTTATTAGGCCGCTCTGATGGGTTGACCATCCCCGAATCTCTTAGTTCCATTTCCCTCCCCCCCCGTTACGTCTGTACTTGCGGACAGACCAAAAGAAACCCTTTTCCAAGACGAAATGTCAAATAAATTTAAAATTTATTTTTTCATGACGTTTGTGCGTACGATGTACGTATGTATCTCGCATAACTCAAAAACAATTAATCGTAGAATGCTGGAATATTGCATATGGGAACTGGTACAACATCTAGTTCTGCACTTTCCTTCTGTTGCGTAATTTGAAGGAAAGGGCTAGAGGGCGTTGCGCTGTTGCTCGCATAGTTGAGAGAGAATGAATTTTGTTCATGTTGAAGGCGGCGGCCTAAGAATACGCTCTGTATATAGTGAATTAAAATATTGTTAAAAATTTTAAAAGTGTTAAAATTCGTAAACTCACTAAACCACCATCATCTGATTTAGAAATGCACAAATTATTTCATGGTGCATGCGGCCGAAAATTAAGGCTTTGTGAAGATTTTAGGTGTTCGACCTAAGTGTTTCGATTTGGATTTAACAATGGATATTTCATATTCAAGGAACAATGGAATTCCAACTAAAGGTAGGGAAATCTTAATTAATTATTTAGTGATTATTTGTAATAAATTAGTATTTATTATTGCTGTCGTGGGTGTATTTAAATTAAATAAAATGGAAGATAAATTAGACAGGTTGAAACGTAAACGTTCCACACTGAGATCGTCTGTTACAAGGTTAATTAAAGTGATTGAAGATAAATTAAAAATTGAAGGAGAGGAAAATTCGATTAAAGAATTACGGGAATTGTTTGAATTAGTAACCGAAAGGAAAAATAATTTGAGAACGCTTGATGATGAAATACAAGACTTAATTGAAGAAGATTGTAGTATAAGCGAAGAATACAATGACAAATGTATAATTGCTTGTAGTCAAATTAAGCAGTTTCTAGGTGCGGTTACCGCAGTACCACCAGTGTTGATTTTTCCGATAATAACCCTATGTGCTATATCTGACTTCGGATCTAAAATTTTCTGAAGAACACAAAAACCTTGTCTAAAACTTAAAGGTTTATTTAACTGGAACTTCAACACTGATGAAAACTTAACATCACAAACAAAAACTTAACATCTTGGGTGGAAAACTTCAAAGTGCTTTAAAGTAACAGCTATGCCGGCACGGTGAAGAACACTTTCCTTTAAAAGACAGAATCCATCTAGCCCTTTCGGCGTATATCTCCATTTCGCTGAATTCAGACATCCGCTCCTACGTGTTTTGGACTTAAACAGCCAGGCTGGAACTGGAATAGGACTGGATCAGGACCGGAACTGGACTGGAACAAGACGGGAACCGGAACAGGACTGGATCCGCAACAAGACGGGAACCGGAACAGGGCGGAAACCGGAATCTCTCATTCCCTGGCTTCTCCCCGGGCAGGTCTATTCTGGCTCGAACTAAAAGGAACTGCGGTGCCACTAAGGAAAGCACCTCCTTTTATTGCCGGCGGTTGCCGTTACTACAGGCGACTTATGCAAATATTTAACATCCTTCCACCTAAGGGGGAAAAAAAAAAAAAAAAAAAAAAAAAAAAAAAAAAAAAAGTGAACTTTCACATCAAAGTAAAACAATGCCAAAGAGCCTTAATATGCCAGTCTGTCCGGCGGAGTTACAGTTCTACCAGATCGTGTTACAGGCCTGACAGATTTATCATCTATGTTGAGTTTAAAGTTCAGACAACGAATCTTGTTTTTCATTCTGCAGCTTCACGGGTACATCATTTTGCGCTACCTCTAAAGGATACAGAGTTCGAACTGCTCTAAGCAAAATTCCATTTCGGGTCTTTACTCTTGCAAGCCGATTTATTCCATCAGGTCCTGGAAGTAGTTCTATGACACGACCAAGTTGCCAAAAAAGTCTTTTGTCACTACTACCGATCAAAACAATATCATCTAATTTAATAGTAACTTTCCTTTCAGCTCTTTTATGCGAAACCTTGAGAATTCCCAAATATTCTTTACGAAATCTATTTTTAAATGCTTCTCGTACAGTTTGAATATACTGAAATCTTCTTTGTAAATTACTTGATTTAATACCGTATTTTATATCCCGCAAACTACTAGTTCTAATTTCTTTTAAAAAGTCGGCAGGAGTTAAAGCTTTAAATTCAGGATCGGAAGGAATTACTGTCAACGGTCGGTCATTAAGAATCGCTTCACAGTCACACAGTATCGTGTACATTTCTTCATAATTTAAACAAGCATGTTTAAGAACTTTTTTAAGGACTTGCTTCATCATTCCGATCAGACGTTCCCACCAACCACCCCACCATGGAGCACCAGGGGGAATAAATTTCCATGTTATCCGCTCATTGGCTGCCTGCCGATTAATTTGTTCAAAATCTATTAATTTAAATGCATTTGAAGCTCCTACAAAATTAGTTCCATTATCACTGTACACAGTTGTGGGTTTACCTCTTCGTGACACGAACCGATGAAAAGCCTGAAGAAACACTTCTGTAGATAGAGAAGTCAGCAACTCCAAATGGACCGCTCTATAAACGGCGCATGTAAAAACACAAATCCATGCCTTTTCTTTGTTTCTCAACAATAAAGGACCACAAAGGTCTATACCCGTTACTTGAAATACTGCTGAATCATTTACTCGCTCTATTGGCGGTGGGGCTGATATGTGGTCAACAGGTGCAGCAGAATATCTCTTGCAAGTAATGCATTTACTCAAAACAGAACGCACCGTTCTTCTGCCAGATAACAACCAAAACCTTTCCCTTAAGGTATTCAGTATATATTGTACACCTGCATGTCCTTTCTTTTTATGTTCTTCCATAATTAAATTCCTAACTAATGGATGTTCTCCTGGTAATATTATAGGTGTTCTAAACTCTAACGTGTCATCTCTTCGAAACGCACCAGTTTTAATTCTTAGAATTCCCGCATCATAAAATGGACTAAGAGTTCGTAAGCGTGCGTCTTCTATATCCTGAAACGATTCCGATTGAATCAAGCGAATAACAACCTTTTCTGCAAAATCAATTTCATCAACAGTGAGTTCACCTTTCCTTTTTTTTCTTATTTCTGCAATTAAAGAAAAATCGTTGAATCCAACCAACAACTCTAACTGTTTTTCGATAGCTAGAAAATCGCTCACTCAAACTAAACCTTTCAGTAGACACTAGAGATGAAACCACTGCCTTTTTTTTCTCGCTGGCTATTTCCGCTTCATCAGTTATAAATTCGGCACTCGGCCAATTTTCTTGCGATTTTAAAAGCCAGCTCGGACCCTCCCACCATTTTGACCGGGAGAGTTGGCGAACTGAACACCCTCTACTTGGAAGATCTGCAGGGTTAAGGTGACCAGGTATATGCCTCCAATCCTCCACACGTGTCAAAAGCCTTATTTCCTGTACTCTATTTTCTACAAATGTCCCCCATTGTTCTTCCCTTTTTATCCATGCAAGGACAGTAGTTGAATCTGTCCAGAAAAATATACTTCTGGCCTCAAAGTCTTTTAGAACGTCTGCAGCAAGACGAGATGCAATAGTTGCTGCTAACAATTCTAATCTTACAATAGTAGTTTCCTTTTTACCACAAGGGGAAACTCTAGACCTAGCCTGAAGCAACTGGACTTTAACTGATTCAGGTTCTTCTACACGAATAAAAACTACTGCCGCATACGCTGCTTGACTGGCGTCACAAAAAACATGGATTGAACACTGTTTTGGCTGATATCGTATCCACCTTGGAATTTTAATGTTTTTCAAAAGAAAAATGTCCTTTACCCATTTCAAAAATTTACTTTTAATTTCGGTGTTAACTTCTTCGTCCCATTTTACTTTTGTTTCCCATGTACGCTGTAATAACATCTTAGGTAATATAAGGACTGGACATGTTATACCGATGGGATCAAATACTTTATGGGCTATTGCCAAAATACTTCTTTTCGTAACTTTCTCGAAACAAAGATTTTGTAAATTAGCAACATTTATTTGAAGAGTATCGCCTTGTCTTTCCCATAACAAACCTAATACATTCGCAATAGTTTCTGTTTCTAAACTACAGTCGGTATATTCCCAACCCCGTAATTCAAATTTTCGTTCTGCCATAACATCTGAAGATACTTTCATGAAGCGCTGTAATTCATCTTCACTTCCAACACTTGTTACACAGTTATCAACATAGAAACTATTCATTAATTTAACAATAATGTTGGAAGAATATTTTACATCTGCATCATTTTTCTCCAAAATTGAATTTAAGTGATATTGAATAACAGCTCCAAGTAAAAATGGACTACTGGTTACACCAAATACGACTCGACAATGACGAAAATGCTTCAAGCCATCTTCACCCTTTATCCAAAGAAATCGGAGGAAGTTTCTGTCACTAGAATTCAGGCCAATTTGTAGAAAGGCCTTACGAATATCAGAAATCACCCCTATTTTTTCTTGGCGAAATCTATTTAAGATTGTAGGAATAAATGAAATAAGGTTTAATCCCTTTTCAAGACAATCGTTGAGACTCGGAGAACCCTTTACTTTAGACGAAGCGTCAAATACTGGCCGTAACTTCGTAGTACTATGTTCCTTAACAACATGTCTATGTGGCAAATAATGATGGGGTAAATCTAATTCATTTACGGGTACTTCCTCTATTATGCCCTCTTTGAGCCATTCTTGGAATATATTTTCATACTCTTGGCGAAGATTATCTATTTCAAGTTGCCTAATCGTACCGTGCAACCTTTTAAGCGATAACTCAAAATTATCCGACAGGGGAGGGTGCCCTTCCAACCAAGGCAAAGACACTACAAAGCGGTCATCTTCTATTTTTACAGT